TTCTTCTTCCTTTCTTTCTTTCTTTCTTTCTTTCTTTCTTTCTTTCTTTTCTTTTTAATGGCCACTCTCCTCCCTGTTTCTTAGCGATCCATTTTTTTTACAAATCCGATTTCTCAGCCTTTGAGCAGCTTCCGCTCGGCTTTCCTGTAGGAAGCCAGGATGGGAAGCATTTTTCTCTTGTGGACCAAGGGAAGAGGAGCTCTTTCCAAATAAACTCGTTGGAAAATAAGATCTTTGTTTTAAAAACGCCCCAAACCCCCCAATTTTTGACGAAAAGAATGGAACTCGCCTAAGAGGTTTCTGTTGTCGGGGGCCTGAGGTTCTGCCCGACGTCGTTGGGTCCAAGAATTCAGGAGGGTGGGACAACCTATGCAATGGAAGCCCCCCCCCCTCTTTTAAATCAGGGGTCCCCAAACTTGGCAACTTGTGGACTTCAACTCCCAGAATTCTCCAGTCAGTGTAGCTTACTCTCTTGTAATCCCCTTTTTCTGCAACCTCTCCCCTTTGGGAGGTTAAGAGAAAAATGAAACAGACATGGCTGACTGGAGAATTCTGGGAGTTGAAGTCCACAAGTCTTAGAAGTTGCCAAGTTTGGGGACCCCTCTTTTAAAGGGAGAGCTGCTGCCCTCTTGGATTTTTCCGATTCCCCCAGACCCAGAGACATCACGGCTTCCCCTCCTCTTCCCTGCTTTTGTGCCAAGAACCCCATTTTCCATGTGGCAAATAATTCACAGTCACCCTTGGAATGGGGAGGAGGATTATATTCTTGTACATGACTTTTCAGCTTCCCCCAAGTCCAAGCAGCAGGGCAGCCGCCCCCTCCTGCAAAGCACTTGCCCACAGACCACCCAGAGACCCCAAATGTGGGCATTTGTGGCCAGAGAAGACGGTGTCCAGATCCGCCGGCCATCTCATAGACCTTCCTTGTTGGCTCCTCCATGTTGCCCTTGGCTTCAGTGACATTCGAGATGTGGGGGTAGATGGAATAGCTCGGGGGGGTCTCCAAACACGGCCACTTTAAGACTGGTGGACTTCGCTTCCCAGAATTCCCCAGCCAAATCTTGAAAATGGCCGTGTTTGGAGACCCCCACCCAGAATAGCGTATAACAGGCGGCCAAGACCACTTCTTGGACGTCAGGGCGAAGGTCTTCCTCAATCTGGCAGTCCAGCTCATTGGCTGCAGAAGGGCTGACCCTGGCCGGTCAGACAAGTGCCTTCCAAGGAGGCTCAGCACAAGCCCACTTCTGGCTGAAATGGCCACGGACCAAGCCAACCCAGGTGGCACCCTGGCTGACTAAGGAGCCTCCGCCATCTTGCCTTCGGCCAAGGAGCCTCCGCCATCTTGTCTTCACTGCTGAGCAATTGGAGGTGGCCCCACCGCTTTGCGCAGGTCCTGAGATGGAGACTTTGAGGCCAGTGTCCCAATCTCCACTAAAGATGGAGAGGAGAGAAAGGCCCTCGGCCCTGTTGGGTTGGATGAGTTCCTCAGGCCTTCTTGAGTTCCTCACCCACTGGCTTGTTTCCGTCCTTCCGGTTGCCGTTCCTCTGCTGTGCTGGGCCTTTGAGGGTCTTCTCTGGGAGTGAGGAACACAGCTGGGCATCTTCTGCGTGAGGCTTTCTCCTAGCCCCAAGGGCCTGGAGTTCCTTCTTCTCTTTAACTCTGGCCACATGGCTGGCTGTCCACTAGAGGGTCTATAAAGTCCAGCTTCCTGCCTAGGCCGCACAAAGCCCCCCAGTGCCTCCAAGACCAGCCCCAAAGTCTTCCCACCCTTGGTCCAGCTAGAGCTGCCCAAGGCCTCTTTTGACCACCCTGGAGGGACCTGGTCATCTTCCTTCAAAGCCAACCTGCCTTGTGGGATTCCTGGCCCCCTGAGGAGGCAGATCTCACCATGGAGAGGGGCTGGGACCCACCTCCGAACATCGGCTGGCCGGCAAGGAGAGCAGGACTGCGTGGCCTCAGGATGAAGGCCAGGGTGGGGTGGGGTGGGGGTCGGCCTTGGCCAAAGCTGCCCTCCCCTCCCCGTTCAAAACCCAGCCTGGCCTCTGAGCCCAAAGACCACTCCTCCCTCCGCCCAGTTTGCCTTATCCAGAGAAGGACAAGGGGCTTCACCTGGATCTTGTCCAGTTCAGCAGTGCCCCAGGGGTCTGCCTGCCCCTGGGGGAAAGAGAGGCTGATTTCTCTCTGCAGCGGCCCAAACAAGCCCACCTTGGCCCCAACCCACAGAACCAGCCTCCTGGCACCTGGGAGAGTGGCTCCTGCTGAGGTCGCCTCTTTTGGAGAGGGTCAAGCTCTTTGGATGGAGGAAGCGGGGGGGCGGGGGGGTTTGATCAGGTTGGCCCTCAGTAGCTTGTTTTGGGCTGGGCCCTGCCATTTCCTGCCGGTTGTAAGAAAACTCCCGGCTTGTGGTGCCTCTTCCTCTCCTTAACCAGATACGAACCCCCAGATCTTTTAGGGTTGCTCCTTGGGAAGGGTCTGCTCCCTGGAAGGGCTTTCTCTCTATGTGCCCGTCCATTCCCCACCCTTCTTGGCCTCCTCAGAGTTGAGGTGCCCTGGAATCAAATTTACACGCTACCTTTTGAACCGGTGGCCAAGGAGGTGGCTGCGGTGGCTGAACTGGCCACCAACTGGGAAAGCATTTGAAAAGCGGACCCTTTGGATTCACCCACGACGTCCTGCGACATCCCAGCTTCCCAAGGGGTCCTTTATGAGTTGCTTATGCACACAACGTATGTCTGTGTACACATCCACACACACACACACACACACACACACACACACGGGCTTTTCCAGATAGCTATTTGGGGTGGCTATTTCTGAAACTAAGGTGGGAAATAGAGGTGGTGGTTTCTTCTTCTTTCTTTGCACAAGCTGTTGCACAAAGTGGAAAACTTGGGATTTGTGTAAGGGATTCTCCCCTGGCCGGGCAATGCAGCTGTTGGATCCAGCAGGTAAAATGGGACCGTGTGGGGTTTACCAATTAAACCGCGTTAAATATTAGCATGTGGATTTGAACTGTACATATATTCCTCCTGTTGTAACTTTTATTAAAAGCTGTATGAATGTACCTGTTGGGAGTGCTGCTCCTTTTGTGTTTCCCTATAGAAAGCAACAAATCCTCAAAGCGTTTGTTGCAAATAACTCCCTAGGGGTTACTTATCCCCAAATAGCAACTGGACTTCCTTGGGTTTTTTTTTCCCCCTTGAAAATGTTTCACTTCTCATCTAAGAAACTTCTTCAGTTCTTTGGGAGCGAGCACCTTTGGGACACCCACGACCTGGATCAGGGGTCTCCAACCTTGGCCACTTTATGACCTGTGGACTTCAACTCCCAGAGTTCCCCAAACCACACCACGCCTACCAAGCCACGCCCACAGAACTATTAGTAAAAAAAATTTGAATCCCACCATGTGCATGTGCAGCTCCATTTATACAAGCAGCGGACGCTTCCGCTTGCGTGCGTGAAAGCTGCACATGCCTGCCATTCGCATGGAACAAATTCTGCAAAATCCCACCCCACCCCACTAACCTGCTTTCCAGCTCCCTTCTCCTGTGCAGGGCCACCAAAGAAGACCCAGCCGATCAGCTGGGACTCAATGGGAGGCAGAGAAGAGATGGGGGTTGGCGGGGCCAGTCAAGAGGTGGGATTGGCCGGTTCTCCGAACGACTCAAAATTTCCGCTATCGGTTCTCCAGAACTGGTCAGAACCTGCTGAATACCCACCTCTGCCCCGCCCTGCCAGTCTGCAAAGCTGGAAAGGCCGGGCACCAGTGGTCTAGACAGGTTCTGCTCCTGCAGCAGCCCCTCCCATCTCCTCCTCCCTTCCCAGGGTGCCTGCATTAGGCCACCTAACCGAATGAAGAACCGGGCGAGCCATCCATCAGGCAGACTAGTCCATCCATTTTCCTGCCAGCTGGAATGCAATTAGGAAGAGCCGGCCGTAAATCACCTCCGTTCTCTGCCCCCCCCCCTCGTGCAGCAGGATGGACGCCCGTGTGCCAGGAGACCCCGGTTGGCAAGTGGCAGGGGCCGCCCGTGGGCTGGGATCACATCGCCTTCCCCAAATGTTAAAAGCTGAGCCACGGATGACGAATGGTCGGCCTCCCGTCCCCTCCGAGGAGCCCATCCATCTCTCAGCTGACAGGGAGGACTTATTGGAAAAGGGCCTGCGCGGGGCCATCGCTCAACGTCCACCATGACAAAGAGGGGTGTGAATGATCCCCGTGGGCCCAGCACGGTCATCTGTTTCCATTAGGAGGTCTGCGCTTGCAACTCTGGGCACACACGGCCGTCGTCTTTTGAGCCTTGGCATCCTGTAGGCCTCCTCAGGAAGAAGGAAGGAGAGCCGGCAGGGTGATGGCTTTCTTTGGATGCTTGAGAAGTTGCTGGCCAGGAACCAGCAAAACTGGACACCCAGCTGCCCGGGGAGATTCAGTTCCAGTCAGAGGTTATGGCAGTGTTGTGGTTCGCCAGCAGCCGGTGCAGCCGGCAGAGGTATCAAACAGTGAGGACGAAAGAGAACCAGTCAGGGAGTCTGGAGAGGACTTGGACGAGGGTCCTGCATCCGATGCAGGGAGGGGGCCAGGACCATCTGAGTGGGGTGCTGCCTTGGGAGCATTCGGAGTCCGGCAGCAGTGAAGCAGAGGACCCAGGGGAGCCTGTTCCTAGTTTGCGTGTGCGCAGAGCTGCTAGAGGGCGAGAGCAGCGGAAGCGGAAGGGGTGACTTCGGGAGCAAGGCTTGGAGGTGATTGCCCCTCCCATAAGCAATAAAAGTCAGACCTCAAGGACGAACACTTTGCAGGAAGCAAAGCAATATATCCTGAGTCCTTGAAGCTCTCATATTCTGGTTGGTTTTTTTTTTCTGGGACTTTGGTTGGTTTATGTTATAATTAATTGGACTTCTGTTCTGAAAGGCAGCATTGCACAGCACTGAAAGGCAGGCTGTTATCTGGGGGCACGGTTTATAATTAGTTCTGGCTAAGAATGCAAGTAATTCCCAGCGTTGCATTAAAATAGGTTTCGCTTTTAAAATTAAGTTTGTGTTTTCATTAAGTCTGACGAAGCTTGGGTCAGAACAGGCACGAGCACCCAAGGAAGGTCCTGGGATGGTCAGCGGGGACTCTGGGGCAGCAGAGCCGGAGGAAGGTGGGCAGAAGGGGTTGACCTTAGCACTTGGTGGACTCTTCTTGGCGTCTCCCAGCTTAAAACAGAAGGAAATGCAGGCAGTGCTCTATTTCAGGGGGGTCTCCAACCTTGGCCACTTTAAGACTTGTGGACTTCAATTCCCAGAGTTCCTCAGCCAGCAAAGTCCACAAGTCTTAAAAGTGGCCAAGGTTGGAGACCCCTGCTCTATTTAAGACTAGTCACTTTGCAAGCCTTGGCATCCCACCTACTTTCCCAAGAAATCCCAGCCCTTCCCTTTCTCCACCGTTCTTCCCTGGGCAGGGACCTGGGAAGAACTTGGATACCCAGATGTTCCCTGGAAGCAATCAATATCCTTGGGCTGAGAATCGGTGAAAGAAATAGATCTTCTTCAAGCAAATATTGCAAAGCATT